GACCGGGCGTCGTTCCTCCGGGTCTACCAGCAGTTTGCACGTCCCGAGTTCAGTGTCGTGAAAGACCCTTAGCGACCCCGTGCCCCTGCGCGTCTCCCTCCCGGGAAGGCCGGTCTCGCACCCGTTCGGTAACATCCCGTCAAGATAGCCCCGGTCTGTTTCTAAGGACCCGCCGAGCTTCCCGGACGAGGCCGGCGCGCCAGGTGTCCGCCCGGCGTCTCGTCGTCGCCATGGAAACGTCTGGCTGCCGGGCGCAGGGAGCTGGGCAAAGACACGCGGGCCGACTTGGACGGGCCAGTGTGGGTGACCTCACGGGGAGGCATGGACGGTGCAGGGGATGCCACCCTCTGCGACACCCTTTGGGAACAAGCGGGATGGCCCGTGGGGGGTGTTTTCCTGCAGATGCGGGGAGTAGAGGCGAATCCAATAGAAGGCGATGCTGGTGGCTGCTGCTTTCCGGGCAGGGGGACGGGGAGAGATGGGTTTCGCCTTAGATCTTTTTGTCCTGTATATTGTAAACTGTTTGTATTTGTTATTGTTATTTTTTTAAAGAATAGTTTATTTTTAGAGGGAGAGGAAGGGAGAGAGAGAGAAACATCCGTGTGAGAGGGAAACGTCTGCATCAGCTGGCTCCTGCACGCCCCCTCCCTGCGATGGAGCCTGCAGCCTGGGCATGTGCTCTGACCAGGAACTGAACCAGCAGCCTTTCCGTGCACAAGATGACACCCAACCAACTGAGCCACACCTGCTGGGGTGCATTTATTACCTTTTATATATTTTTAAAATATATCTTTATTGATTTCAGAGAGAGGAAGGGAGAGAGAGAAATAGAAACATCAATGATGAGACAGTCATTGATCGGCTGCAGCCTGCAACCTGGGCATGTTCCCTGACTGGGAATCGAACCCGGATCTCCTGGATCCTAGGTCGATGCTCAACCGCTGAGCCACGCCCAAGGGGGCCATTTATTACCTTTTAAAAATAAACACAGAAAACATCATGCCCAGGCATGCTGGTTCATAGATTTTGAGGGTATTACCTCCTGGAATTTGTNACAAGGGGGCCACTTATTACCTTTTAAAAATAAACACAGAAAACATCATGCCCAGGCATGCTGGTTCATAGATTTTGAGGGTATTACCTCCTGGAATTTGTATTATAAACAAGTTTCTTAGGAATTACGAAGGTTGAGAACCTCAGATGTGTACCAGTGGTTCTCAGACGAACCGAGAGGGGGCATGTCAGTCACCTGGAGAACTTGTTAGAAATAACAACATTCTTTCTGAAAGACTGAATTTGTAAATTTGATTTCAAAATTCATTTAGAGGGAAAAAGTTGACTATATTGAACATGTTTTATAGTGGGCTCCTATAATTATTTCTGCAAATATAAACCTGTTTTGGTGGTTTCACGTAAGAAATTCATGCTGTGGTGGGAGAGAATCTGGTTCTTAAAAAGCTCTAGAAAGTTTTTCTATTTGGCTTAAAAGAGGTTAATTTTCCTACATGCACTCAAAGTAATTTAATATGTTGAAATCTCCCTTCTCTGCAGAAGCCTCTGCAGCTGTGGAGAAAAAGCAGAAACCTCTTCCCAGAGTTAACATCCATTCTGGATTCTGGATATTGGCATCCATTGTGGTGACCTATTACATTGATTTCTTTAAAACTATTAAAGAAAACTTTCACACTAGCAGGTAAGAAAATTGCTGGTTCATAAGTTAAACACCCTTGTCTTATTTTTCATGTTTTATTTTGTCAGTTGAATTCTCCAAGCACTTAGTAGGTACCTGATTTCTGCCAGGCACCGCGTGGGAGTGCTGGTGACACCAAGATGAGGAAGTGTGTGCGCTCTGGGCGGTGCAGCAGAGTGGCTGAGACTGGGAATTATTTCAGTGTGCCTTCTCAGCACACACGTGTTGTAGGAGGGGAGAGGTGGTAAATTAGAGAAGAACCTAATCCGTTTGTAAATCGTGGGAGGAGAAAGCCTCCGACTGGAGGTCTTGTGAAGATGAAGTGCAGGAGCGCTGGGGGGAGGGAGTGAGGACTGTGGTGGTGAGAACAAGGTCTCAGAGTTTGCGCTGAGAGAGTAGGCAGAGCTAACAAGGTAACTTCAGGGTGTGGTTGAATTCGAGTTGAGGCGAAGGTTGCCAGTTAATCTCAGGAGTTCACATGGAGGAAGATGTAAATCACCCCAGATTTCTCTGAACATTGGAGAGTGTTCTGGAGGCCCCCAGATAACAGAAGAGGGAGAGGTGGTGAACATCAGAGGCGTACCAACGAGGCTGGAAAGGTGTGGAAGGGACTGTGTGACCCCATGTTACTGAGGCAGGACCCACAGTTTGTCTTCCAGAGGACTTCAGGAGGAACAGTGCTGGCTAGAAGGGAGGCCCAGGAGCAAGGGAGCACGCAGTTGGGAAAGTCAGCATAGGGGAGTTTGTTTAAAAAATTAGAGAAGGTTTGTTCTTCTCTTTCCCTAAACACTCCCACCTTTTGCCTCCCGCGCTCCTTCCCTGGGAGGTGGTGGGACTCCTGATTGGGTTTTCAGTGAGGAACTAGACACGTATAGTCAACACCTTTTTCCTCTTGGGAGCCAGCTGCCCATGGCAGGCACAGGTTCTGGTCTGCTTTTCTGGGTCATTATTTTATGGGGCAGCCCTGACATGAGACGGTTGTTAGGTTTCCACTGCAACTTGGGACCTGGTAGGTAAGTCTGTCTATTTCTGGGTTTCAGTTTTAGGAAGCACTGTTCACCATTCACCAGAGCCATTTTCCACAGCTCTTGTCAGTGAAGACACTTACAGTTGATGTTCATCAGCCTCACTTCTTTTGTTTCTCTCAACTGCTTTAGAACTTGGTCTGGAAAAAAGGGAATAGTTACTGCAAACCACCAGTAGCAGCTGCCCCATCGTTTGTCAAATATTTCATGAAAGCCTGAGACGTATGTGGCTGTGCTGGTGGGATAAATGAGGCCCATTTCTAGCCCTCCTGCAGCTCATTCTAGGCCCAGACAGACAGGTGGGTAGGTCACGTGGTGGTGTGTGTAGGAGTGTGAACAGGATGCTACATGAGCACCGAGAAGGGAAACAGTCCAGCCCAGCCTGAGGTAGTAGACCTGTTTGAGGCTTAGAGATGAGAGGATTTATGTATTTGTGTCCTTATGTGTATTAAGTACTTAAGGAAGTAGACAGGAATAGTNTGAGAAGGGAAACAGTCCAGCCCAGCCTGAGGTAGCAGACCTGTTTGAGGCTTAGAGATGAGAGGATTTGTGTCCTTATGTGTATTAAGTACTTAAGGAAGTAGACAGGAATAGTTAATTACATATATAAGGTGTTTAGGCACCTGCAGCAATAAGTGCAGTGAGCACACCGCTATCGTGTGGAGAGCTGGGACTCAGATTCTGTGACCACGGCATGACAGGGAAGTAGAAGCCATAGGCCTGGCCTTAAAAACATGTTATCTTAGAGCAGAAAAGACGCCAATGCAGACGTGGAGGCTGAGGATTTTGAGCAGCACTGTGTCCTTGCTGAGGGCCTCTCTGTGGGCAGTGGGGAGTTTAGAGCAATGCCCAGAGGCAGACACTGAGGGTGCCTTCTGCTCTCTTGAGAACGGTTCATTCCTTTGCTAGCCCTGCTCTTAGCTCAAGTTCAGAAGGTCTGCGGGGCATTAGGGTTCTTGGAATCTGTGCAAGGGTAGACTGTATGTTCAAAGACAGAAGACACAAGTCAGCATTAAATACAAAGCAAAATATCGTGATGCTTTAGAAGTCANAAGACTGTATGTTCAAAGAGAGCAGACACAAGTCAGCATTAAATACAAAGCAAAATATCATGATGCTTTAGAAGTCACAATTTAAAAAACCACCCTGGTTGTGTGTATCAAAATCAACTGTGAGTTAAAGGAAAAGAAAGATTGCTATCCCAGATGCTCAGGGCCTTCCTCACACCCACCAAGTCAGACTTTTGGAAACAGGAAAGATTGCTCCCTTTTAGAAAGTCACAAAGATGACTAACACATAGCCAGGACTGAGGACCACTGACTTGCAGTCTTTTATTTTGCTCAGGCTGTGTTTTAATTTCTTACATTCTTTACCATACCTGGACACAGTAGCCATGTAGGATTCCAAGTGAAGATGAAAAACTGATGTGAGTAGAAGGTAGGATTCTGACAATGCAAGGAGATCACCATAACTCTAGCAGTGTTCTCAGCCCTTCTTTATTATCACCTCCTAAGGAGCCTCTTTTTAGACATTTTTATCCCTAATTGCCCCCTTACATACTCCATGAATATCTGAGCTTTATATATACACAAAAAGTATGCTCTTTGGAGGTGATTTCGTACCTGTTGAGAACGCACAGAAGAGAGGTCTTTGAGGACCCCTAAAAGGAGCATGGAAATACTTTCCCAGACATAAATAGCATCAGTGGAATAACAGTGATCGCTGTTGAGGGTGGACGCACTGTTCTGAACGCAACCTCCTTGCCACAGCTGTTCTGTGAGTCCGTACTGTCAACATTCTGAAGCACTCCGAGCTTATGTGATATGCCCAGAGTCACAGCTAGTCATGCCAGAGCTGAGAGTCAAACTCAGGTGTTGAAGATTGTACTCCTGACCACTATGTGTATGGCCTCTTCTAATTCTGAATCCCAGGGGTGTATCACCATAAAATGCCTTAAAGGAATCTGGAACCTTCCATTGTCGGAAATCCATTCAGTGCCTATGAACTTGACTGGTCCCCCTCTTTCTTCTACATGGAATGCTAGTCCTCTCCCCGTGGAGAAGCAAAATGTAAATGAGGGTATTGGGTTGAGTTGGAGACCTGGGAAAGGGACTTGGTTCCCCAAACCTGGCCCCCTCCATGACCAGCAGGGACCAGAAGGAAGGGGCTGACCCGTTCACACACACTGAGTCAGGTCTTGGGTAGAATTAGAAGTGAGAAAGAAGACATTGCCCCTGGGAGGAGGGTTGGAAAGCTAAAAATGTGATGGTTTCTGCCCAGCCGGGCGTGGCTCAGCGGTTGAGCGTGGACCTAGGATGCAGGCGATCAGGGTTCGATTCCCAGTCAGGGCACATGCCCGGGTTGTCGGCTGCAGCCTATCAATGACTCTCTCATCATTGATGTTTCTGTCTCTCTCTCTCTCTCCCTCCCTCTCTCTGAAATCAATAAAGATATATTTAAAATAAATAAATAAGTAAAAAAAAATAAATAAAAATGTGACGGTTTCATTTAGAAATCTTTCATGAGGGGCACTGTNAAATAAAAATAAAAATGTGACGGTTTCATTTAGAAATCTTTCATGAGGGGCACTGTGCATTAAGCATCTTCCACGTTGATTTTCAGCATTCCAAGAAACCCAACTTAGTTTGGAGGAGTTCATGGTACCAGTTTATTACTCTTACACTCAGAACTTCAGAAACAAGCAGAAAGCTGCTCTCTTTCCTATATTTTTAAAGAAAATGCATAGCCACAGCCAGGGTTCTGTTGTGGTTGGCTAGTCTATGGAAGTACATATACACACATGTATTTAAATCTTACTTTCTGTCAGTCATGGTTCTCGGGCTCGTCCTTCCTCACCCCAGCTCCCAGTGGATCGAGACAATCTGAAATCTGGGATTGAGTGATTGTGGGTCCCTCTGTGTTCCTCTTCCAGTTGATATTCGTGTAGAAATAGACTTTTAGGCTATCAGTGAAAACTTTTAAGCTGTCTGTTGATTGCTAAGTGCTGTCGACCCTGACCTCATTTTCGTCTCTGCAGCTGGTTTCTCTTCGGCGGCGCCTTGCTGCTGGTCAGCGTGTGCATTGCTTTTTACTGCATCCTCTATCTGGAGTGGTACCGTGGGATTGGAGACTATGATGTTAAGTATCCAGCCTTGATACCCGTTACAACCGCCGCTTTTATCCTAGCGGGAATTTGGTAAGTTAACTTTGAAATGACTGCTAGGAATGAGAAAGCTGCTGATCAGGTACCGATTGATGTACCATAATAGTTCGATAGTGTGGGAGATCGTGAGAGCAGGCTACGGCCATTCTAGTTCACATTCCATTGCAGACACTGACTTTATTAAAGACTCAACTTCCTATTAAGCCATGGCAGCCCTCACCAGCCCGCATTAGAAGACCTCAGTGACTCCAGCTCCAAGTATTCTCTGAAGAGATTGTGATAATTCATTATTTGCTAAATCACGTCTCTGAGGAAAAAATCAACATATACAATGTTGCTGCAGAGTGGATTTGCCCAGACTAAGTAAAAAACGAGTTCTTTACCTGTAGGTTGTACAGTAGATACATTTGTGTAGGTGACAGCCGGAGTTGTCAGCCACACGTTGTCTTTTCCTTTCNACGAGTTCTTTACCTGTAGGTTCTACAGTAGATACATTTGTGTAGGTGACAGCCAGAGTTGTCAGCCACACGTTGTCTTTTCCTTTCAGCTTCAACGTCGCCTTGTGGCCCGTGTGGTCCTTCTTCACCCCGCTGCTGCTGTTTACCCAGTTCATGGGGGTCGTGATGTTCATCTCGCTCCTTGGATGATTCCGAGAGACCTGAAGATATGAAGTGAACAATTAAACATCCAGGCAACCGACAGCATCCCAAACGTGGAAAGGCTACAGTGTATCTTAGCATCTCAAAGTGAGTGGTTTTCTGGGGAAAATTGTAACTTCATTGATCTGTGGTTGAAATCAGAATAAATTACATTTCACTTGCATACTCTTAAACTCAGATGATGATTAAATTTTTCAGATTCAGAACAGGAGTATTCTCTTCAAAATAGAAATAACTAATTCTCAATGTTAATCTGTTTGAATCACTGGAGAAAGTATTGGTGTAAAAGTTTAAATGAAGTTTCCTTATAGGTGCGTGATGCACTCCCAGTATTGTCCACTCTCCGCTGTGTGAGGCGGCTGGACGTGGACCTGTGCCTTTGACCCAGGGTTAGTGGTTACCACAGATCTCACTGTTGTCATGCTTTCGCTAGGTGACAGGACCAAGTGGACGCATTTTTGCATTCCTACTGTCTTGGATTTTATCATTATGTAAATTATTGTGTTTCTAGCATGTTTAACATGAACTTTTAATGACTTTTCAGTATGTATATTTTTTTCCTTAACATTTGAATAAAATATTTTTATAACTTTCTTGTGGGTTTTGTTAATACACACTTAGGAATAGTTTCTGTTTTCAGCTGTTAGTGCTTTGAGTTAACTGGAAATGAGGTTTCTCTTTAGAGAAGGCTGCTCTGCTCTTCAGAAACCTTGTGAAGAGCAGAACTAGTCATTTTCAAATGCAAACGTCTTCGCCTTAAACCAAACATCATAAGCATTATGANCCTTGTGACGACTAGTCAGTTTCAAATGCAAACGTCTTCGCCTTAAACCAAACATCATAAGCATTATGACATGGAAAGCACCTGATGTGGACTCTCTCTTCCACAGAGGGACTTCCGGAGGTGGTCTGATTCAGTCTCCTCTGTGTCCGGCTCTGGTCACACTGGTGCTCCCGCTGCCTGACCTTGAGTATCAGTCGGTCTTTCTCCAGCTGCGAAGTGGGATCATGTGTCCTGTAGGGTTGTGGGTAACAGGAAGAATGTTGATGAAACACTTACAGTACCTGGCACACAGTAGGAGCTCACTGGGTAAATGGTAACAGAGAATGAGAGAAAGACAAGGCCGAGCTGCGCTCGGGAATGGGAGAAGGCAGGCATGATCAGTAAGCAGGAGCAAGCCCAGTTTGTGGGTGCATGCACATATGAGGGTGTGTAGAGTCATTTAAAGTAATAGGTAAGCTCAGGCAGAAGTCGGTCAACGATGTGAGGGTCCAAGGCAGGGGTGAGGTTGCAACCCTGGCAGTTAGGATTACAGGGAGCATTGGTTCAGGTCCATTGGAGGGAACTTGGGAGGGGCCAGAGGTCAGTGCCCCGGTGACAGCTCCCACAAATTATCTGCCTGCCTGTCTAGATAGATTCTGCAAAAGAATAATCTATTTTTCTGTCTGTCTATATCTGGATAGCTTCTGCAGAAGAATAAACCATCTGTCCATCCATCTATCCATTCATCTACCTACCTAGATCTAGCCATCCACCTCTCTTCTTACAGAGTAGTTTTACTACCTGGATAGGAATCTAAGGCTGGGATTTTCTGATTAACACAGTTTGTAAAGATCCATTTAGCCAAATGCAGATACTGTAGTCAACTAGGATGGTAAGATTACCCTTTTACAAAGAGACTTTAATGAATTTGTTTAAACAGGATCATGCCTGGTCCCTATTTCTAGTATGCAGGTTATTTATGGGTCTTTTCCTGTTGTTATAGCTATTAAGTAAAAACAGGGTCAAGCNGTTAAATAACTAGTATGCAGGTTATTTATGGGTCTTTTCCTGTTGTTATAGCTATTAAGTAAAAACAGGGTCAAGCAATATTGCTTTTGCTTCTGAACAAGCCTGTGGGAGGAGCACCTACTCTTGAGAGTCATGAATCACTAAAGTAACAGTTTGAAGTCATTCCCAAGGAAGTCAGGGAGAGGATAGGAGCAGGTGTATACTCTTAAAAATGCCCCTGACTTTTGACAACCCCAAGGGTCAAGACCAGTTTTCAGTCCGAGCTGCACACTAGTTGCTCAGGCCTGCTGCTCAGAGGTTCTGATTCAGTTGGCAAGCAGGGCTGTGTATGGAAGAGCCTTTGCTGTGTCAGGGCTCTTTGGTTATGCAACAGCAAAAAAGGGTCTCTGGCTTCACTTTTTTAAAAAGAAAAATACGTTTTTTTTGATCTTAGAGAGAAAGGGAAAGGGAGAGAGACATCGATGAGAGAGAAACATTGATCAGCTGCCTTCTGCATGCCCGCCGCTGGGGATCAAGCCCAAAGCCCAGGCATGTGACCTGACTGGGAATCGAACCCACAACCTCCTGGTGCATAGGCTGATGCTCAACCAACTGAGCCACACTGGCCAGGGCCCTCTCTCTGGCTTCACTTAAGTGAAAAACCTGCCTTGGGAGGGAACCGAGGGAGAGTGTGGAGAGCACATCTCTAAGTGGGATAGTTTGGGGAGAGGAGCTAGGGGTCTAGGAAACAGGATTTATCAGCTGCCCTATTCCACGGCCACAGTTAGGATGAGTGCCCTTCACCTAAAATTTTTCCTGAAAGACTGATTCAGCTCAGTATTCCCGAGGTGGGTTCCAGGAACTGTTTACATGGAATTCGTAGAGAATTAAATAAGAAAGCAATTAGTATATTTTGCAAACGCTAAAGACTAATTTTAAAGAAGCAGAATTGGAGGCTCTGGTCAGGGGAAGATGGGAGTTGAATGGAAGGGCAAAGGGCCATGGAAATCCCTTCGTCCCCACCTCACGGATTCAGCTCTGCAGTCGGATGCGATTTCCCCATTTTGGCAGCAGTGTAATGAGTAGCTGTGTTATGTCTAAAGCAGTGGGAGCAAGTAGCTGTTAGCGTAGCTACAGCTTCTATAAATGATACCTCATTTGGGTTTAGTCACGGTGCCTCAGGATGAGTCATTCCTATCTGTGTAGATCCATGGTAACATTTCCCGTCTTCACCGCCCCCCCCCCAAAAAAAAAGATCAGGCTCCCTCATGCTTCTCCAGTTGTTAACCATTTCCTCTGGTGCCTTCACAGCAAAACTCCACTAAGGAGTTCCTTATGCTCAGTCTCAATTGTGCTCCTCTCATTAAAAAAAAAGTGTTGTGCCCGGCCGGGCGTGGCTCAGTGGTTGAGCGTCGTCCTGGGATCCAGGCGATCGGGGTTCGATTCCCAGTCAACATGCCTGGGTTGTGGGCTTGATCAATGACTCTCTCATCATTGATGTTTCTATCTCTCTCTCTCCCTCTCCTTTCCTCTCTCTGAAATCAATAAAGATATATTTAAAANCAACATGCCTGGGTTGTGGGCTTGATCAATGACTCTCTCATCATTGATGTTTCTATCTCTCTCTCTCCCTCTCCTTTCCTCTCTCTGAAATCAATAAAGATATATTAAAAAAAAAAAAAAAGTGTTGTGACATGGACGCACAGGAGTGTGTAGAGTGAGGGCTCCCTCATGTGCACAAGAAGGAGCCAAAAGGACCCAGGGACTTGGTCCCTCCCTGCCCACACCCCTCCAGGGACAGGAGTGCACCGAGTTCAGCCTGCTGCTAGCAATATGCCCATTGCTTCTCTTGATGTCCCCTGTCACTCGTCCTGGTCACCGGTCTCTCCCAGGACCATGGGGACCCTTCTAATCCCTTTATCCCTGCCCCGGTGGCTGCCACGAGAAGCCTGGGACTCCTGGGCCATCTCCTTTCCTCAGGCCCTCTGCCCCCCCCACCCCGTGCCTGTATGTTCCTCTTATCTACTGCTCATAACAAATCATTTATTTTGCTCAGGAGTCTGACATTGAACAGGAATTTGCCAAACAACTTGTTTCTGCTCCACACAATGACAGCTGGGGCTGGACGACCCACTTCCAGGGTGGTCCACTCGGGGCTGGTAAGCACCTACTATGTGCTGAGCACCACTGTTCTGTGTTCTGGACAATACAGCAGTGGAGAGGACCGGCAACATCCACCTCCTAGAGCTTCCGTCGCAGTGGGAGAGCCAGGCCGCAGACTTACACATTCCAGGTGAGGGTGTGTGCTAAGAAGGAAAGCAAGGCAGGCAAGGGGACAGAGCACAGTGGGGAGGACGCCCGGCTGAGTCTCACACCCTCACTGACCCTGCTCGTTCATGCAGCATCCATCCTTTGTGCATTCAGTAACTCCTTGGTTTATCTACTGAGCATCCATCTGGCTTGGCTCAGGGGACATCAAGACGATGGTCACGATCCCTGGTCACCACCTGCCTTTTCACCCTCATTTCTGCGTACGTGCTCCATCCCTTCTCTGGAACGCCCTCCCCTGCTCTGCCCCTTGTCACCTGGCCAGCTCCTGCTCTGGGTACAAAGACTATTCAGGTGCCGCCTCTTCTGGGAACCTCTCCCCCTGCCTGGCAGACTCCGGGCTCCCCCAAGCATCTCTTCCAGGCAGCCCTGCCCACAGAGGCTGCTTGCCCATCTCACCCAAAGCCAGGAGCTCCTAAGGCAGGGCTGAGCCTCACACTGATGCCCTCTAGCTTCCCAGCGAGGTCTCCATACACACTGGCCTGCTGAGTGTGTCTCCACCAGAATGTCAGCTCCTGGTGGAATCCCCAGTGCCTAGAATAGAGCCTGGCCAATGACTCTGAGTTGAAGAAATGTTGACCATGTGAATGAATGAAATGAAAAAAATGAATGAAGGCAAGGTCCCCAGGTTAACTCCCTCCCGGCCCAGAGCTTCCCTGCAGCCAGGAACCTCCGACTGTCAGAACTGGCTATGTAATGTGCAAAGTGAAAATGTGGGTCCCTGTTCAAAAATTAAGAATTTCAGGATGGCAACAGGGCATTAAGCCTGGGGGCAGGGTGTCTCCTGGGTGGGGAGCCCTCCTGCCCTCTCCCAGGCTCCTTCCCCAGCACCTTCCTCCCTGCTCCCTGCTCAGGCCCTGCTCGCGGCCACGCCAGCCCTCGGGCCTCTTTTGCAGAAACCTCCCAGGACCCCTTAGCAGCCTCTCAGCGCCCAGCAGGCTGAAGGTCTGAGGGTCGGAGGGTCAGGGAGAACCCCGGGCGCCCCGCCCTCAGCTCCTCTCGGTCCAGAAGCAGCCCCTCACCCCTTGTAGGGGGGAGAGAGGATCTCTTTTCTTGGGAAGTAGCTCGGGTGTCATCCACATTTGGGCATCAGGGCGTCTCCCAGCAGCCACACAGGTAGGTACAGCGGACGGACGGACGCACGTAGGCGCAGGAAGACACGCCCTCCGCTAGCTATAGATCTAGGGACGGCAGCCAGCCCCGAGAGACCAAGAGGAAACACCGCGGAAAGAAGCGGGACGGGCACGGACAGACCGCCGGGCGGGACCACGCGCGCGGACACCCCCAGGCTCACCTGGGCCCCC